GAGGAGGAGGGAGGGGGAGGAGAAGAGAAGAGGAGGAGGGAGAAGCAGGGAGAGGAGGGTGGGAAGAGGAGGAGGGAGGGGAGGAGCAGGGAGAGGAGGGGGAGGAGGAAGGTAGGGAGGAGGGAGGGGGAGGAGGAGGAGGAGCAAGAAGGAACAAAGGACCCTAAAGGCTGGTGGTCAGGTGCAGTCTAACGAGCCCAAGGAGAGCAGGTGTGAGCCCTGCGCGGGACAGGAGTGCGCATGTCACGTGTCACGTTTGGCCGCTGGGCTGCAGGTGGTCATCGGAGCTTTCCCGCTGCCCTTGAGCACTTGCTGGTTTTCACTATTACTTTCATTGTTATTATTTTACTGTTCATTTCAGATAATTGTTTTAATAACGTGCCCAGAAGACAGATCCACGCTTGAGGAAGCAGGTTCTACTTTGACGTTCCACTTAATGGTTTACACACAATGCATGTGAGTGCACTGACATCTGAACACAAAATGTGCGTTTCCTTCGCTTGCCTTAAGCAGGCGTCAGAAATGGACCATCCACACTGGATCTCGGTTTTGCTACCGTCCCAGTTCCTGCCAGCTCTGAGCTTCACAGCACTCCAGGGACCCATTCAACGAACGGGACGAACGGGACGTGGGGTGGCCACGCTTCAGTGCATACCTCCTGGGTTTCTCACCACGGCCCTGCCACCAAGATCCCGCCTGGGGAAGACGCAGGCTCCCAGCGAGTGAGCGGTTTGCCCAGGCCCGCAGGCTGCGGGGCAGCCAGAAGCCACGGGCATTCGCCTCAGCCCTCCTGGTTCTGCCTTCCGCCTTTGGCAGAAGCCTCAAAGAAATCAGCTTCCTGCAAGCGCAGTCCTCCTCGCCTGGGAGAGTGCAGCTCCCACAGCTAGCAGGCAGGTTTTGGGGAGCAAACATGACCCCTGAGCCCGCGTGCAGGTCCCCACTTCTGTGCAGCCCAGGAAGTAGGCCGATTGGTGAGGGCAGCGCCCCCTGGAGGCCACGTTGAGCCTCTCCGGGCCTTGCACCCTCCACCAGGGCCGCACTGCACTGAAGGCTTCCGGCTTCAATTTTCCTTCAGAAGTTAACCCGTGACCCACCGTGCTTCCCTCCTCCTCCACAAAGGGTTCATTACAAGGCTCAGAAGGTCAGACTGCTCACTGGCCATGATATGCACGATGAATCCTCGGCCACGAGTCCCTGTACCACCTTTGGGGAGATGTTGACAGCTTGGTGGCATGGTCCTGGAGGTCAGGGACTATGCCAGAAGTCCTGGATTGAAGGCCGGTTTCCTTCCAGTTGTGGTTTCAGGACCCGTTGGTCAATGGTGCTATGAGCTACGTGGAATGGTCTGGGCTAGGCCATGGCCAAGGTGCCCCTTCCCCCAGGACCAGGCAACCAGAGGACCCGGACTCCTGGTGACTTCATCCGTGTCGGAGGAGAGCCGGGCTCCGCTGGGTTTGCAGTGGCTGATGTCTGAACTAGAGCTCCAGGCCTCCACTGCACAGGTGGTCTTGAACCAGCAACCCTCTGGTTGGCAGGGGAGTGCTGTCACTCTTTGTGCACCCAGGGACCCCGTTCCCTCCCCAGGCATTATTTAAGAGTGTCTGGTGAAGAATCCGGCTGCTGCGAGGCCCTGGGGTGTTTATTTGGCCTGAGCGTTTTGCTCGTTCTTTCGCACTACATTTCAGAAAGGATGCCAGGGAACGTTACGTTACGTTCCCCTAGTAATCCCGAGCCCCCAGGGCACAGGGACATTCCCTGTGAGGAAAGCCCAGGCAGACTCTGACGACTAACCTCGGCGTCTCCGCTTCAATCTCGCTCTGCCGCTTCCCATCCCTTAACCTGAGAGCAATGTCTCCACTCCAATTTGATAAGCAAACAGAGCCTGTCTGTCAGTGTGTCAGTAAACTATTGCCTTCCCTCCTGGACAACACAGTCCAGAACCTTTCTCAATGGAACCTTTGGGAGGAGGACGGGTCCTCTGTAAGCCCCTAAGTCCCTGGGAAGTTTTTGGGAGTTCCTGTCTCCAGGCCCAACTCTCTGGAGGCAGATGAGAGCCACCAACTGAGGCTGACCTCACCATCAACACGGCTCAAGGCCACAGGGCTTCCTCCCTCATTCGATGGGGCTTTCAAGGGCATATGTGATGCTTGGTCTGCTTACAGAGCTTCAGTTCCTTGGCATGCAGATGTACAGGCAAGGAGGGAAAAGGCCTGCACTGATGGCAAGGTGGCTTTGTGTGTGTGTGTGTTTCACCATCTCGGAATTCAGTTGGCAACTCGCCAGCCTGTTTCTTTCTTGTTGCGGTTGTTTCGGCTGTTACTGCGTCAGCTCTGACTCACAGGGACTCTTGCCCTGCTCGGTCCTGCATCATTTTCACAGTTCCTGTGCTGGTGACCACTGTGTGTTCTGAGCGCCTTTCAACCCAAGGAGCCATCTCCCAGAACACTGTCACATGAGCCTGTGGTGCTACCTGGGGACCTTTCTTCCGGGTCTGCCTCAGCAGGGCTCAAACAGCCATCTGTTTCCTAACTAATGGCATCTCAGACTGGATCAAACGGAGCAGATGTCAGTCAACAAAAGTCAAGCCTTTCTTCCATTTCAGTCAAAAGTGAAAAACATAGATGCAAATGACATTTAAATATCTATTTTTTAAATACCTGAGTTTAGACTACCCTGCGAACTTTTTCGTCCAGCTCATCTTTTTCATCGGTTTTCAGAAAAGGATGTCTGATAACAATAATGAGTTACACGACATTTGCTAGGATGTTTTCTGGATGGAAGCTTGCACGAGTCACAATAGAACACACGGTTTTCATTTATGTGTTTTGCTCAAAAGGACATAATTTTGCTTCCGTTGCTGGTGGTTTTGCATGCTCTTATCAAAAGTGTATCTGGACATGTGGAAAATTACACTGGATGAGAGAATGAGGACGGTTCAGTAAAATGGAATCACGGTGCATCAGAAAACATAACTCGTCCTGTGTGTTGCACGAGGACTCGGTGGCCCAGTGGGAGAACATCCCCTTCCACGCAGAGAGCCACGTGCGATTCCCAGCCAGGGCGCCCCCGTGCAGCCCCCAGCTGTTGGTCCACGGCGCTCGCGTGCAGCCGGGATGCTGGACAGGTTTCAGCGGAGCTTCCAGCCTGAGACGGCCCAGGAGGAAAGGCTTGGTGATCCACCTCTATAACTGAACCAGTGACACAGGCCCGGCCTGCAGCTGGTCAAGGGGATGGCGTGGGATGGGGTGGGACTGGGCTTCACCGTACGCAGGGTCGCCATGAGCAGGGGCCAACTGGCCACCGCTACACCACCACCACTGTGTGTCACTGACAGTGAACCAGAGACCACACCTCAGTTCTCAGTGAGCAGAAAGGTCTCCAAAGCAGAGACGTGGAAGAGGGTGGCACTGGGTTCCACCATACGCAGTGTAACCACGAGCTAGGGACCAACTGGCCCACAGCTACAACAACACTGTATGTCACTGACAATGAACCAGACACCACACCTCAGCTCTCTGTGAGCAGAAAATTCTACAAAGTGGAGACATGGGAAGGGGTGGCACTGACCCCAGGGCAGGACTGCACGCCCTCTGACAACACCAGACCCTACGGTGGCAGCTGTCCCCACAGCTGCAGGTGTTCACTTGAGTGACAACTCTTTAGTCACTCCATACAGATATTGCATTATCTCCATTTCTGATGACAGAAATATCCAAGACATCAATTTGTCATAAACCAAGGGGGTAAGTATGTACCCTCTTTCCATAAGCAGTGTCGCTCAGACACCCACTAAAACCACCCTTGCACTCACACCACCACACTCCTGGCTTACAAGGACTGCTACTATCTTCTGCCATTCCTACCACTCAAGTCCTGGGTTGGGGACCCCAGGAGACCTGCTGACTCCTCTCATGGGCATGGCCCCACTCACTCCTCCCATGGGCATGCCTCAACTCAAGTCCTGGGTCAGGGACGCCAGGACCCGCTGACTCCTCCCATGGGCATGCCTTCAATCAAGTCCTGAGTCAGGGACCCCAGGAGACCCTCTGACTCCTCCCATAAACTTGCTTCTACTTGGAGCAAATTCCAGACATGACATTTTGGGCTCTTTGTAGCTGCAGTGACTTGAAGGTGAATACCTTTGCTCTTCACACGTTGTTGCACAATGAGAAGCGATTTATCACAAACACTGCTGGTTTTCTAAGCAATTTTAAGAT